TGTATCTCTTTTATGGATTCCATTTGTTTCCTATGTTGGGATTCCATCATGTTCCTCAGCTCCTCTCTAGATTTATTAATCATGTCTTTCACTATCTCTGCTGTTATCTGAGAAATTATTTGACTTCATTTTTTCGAGATCCTCTTTTGTTGCCAGTTCATGGAGTCCAGGTGTTCCATCTCATTTCCCTTTGAGGTTGTTGTAGGTGATCTGGAAGTCTGGTTTTGAGACTTGTTTACATGTCTTCTCATTTTGATGGGGTGGGGGGCGCTGTTGGCACTCACGTGGCTCACCTCCTCTGTGCTGGTGGGGATGGAATGGTGGCCCGGAGGCCTCCTCTTGTGTGCTGGGAGTGGCTCACCTCCTGTGTGCTGGTGGGGGTCTGATATTTTGTTTTCTCATTTTCACTCATCTCAGTGTTTCTATTTTTCTCATAATTATTTCTCTGACTCACTGATTATTTCTGAGAAAACTATTAACTTTTACAAACTTGTAAATTTCCCTAATTGCCTACATTTTAATTCATTATTTCACTTTATTGTACATATATATACATACATACATTTATTATAAATCAACCACACTGATTATGTACAACTTTTGTTACATTAATCTCTTCATTATTTCTGCTTCTCTGTTTTTATTCTTATAGATTTGTTACTATCTGGAGTCACTTCCTTAGCCTGATACAGCTTTGTTCAAAGCCACCTCTTTTGGACAGTTATTAGCAAATATATTACTTTTCTATATGTAATTGACTTAAGTATAATGTTTTTTTAAATTGCTTTTAAAATCAGTTATACAACTTATATCTTTATTTTCATATGATCATCTGCAGACTTATTTTTTTATGCTACTGTCTTTTCAATTACATAGGTCAAAAAAGAAATAAAACTGGTTGTGGTGAAGCATATTTTTATTCCTAGCACTCTGGGAGGCTTAGGCAAAAAAAATCACAATTTCCAGCTCTGCCTGGACAACTTTGTGAGACCCTGTCTCAAAACAGGAAGTAAAAATATCTGTAGATGTAGTTCAAAGTGATGGTCCTGGATTCAATACTCAGTACCACAAAAAACATGCTACAATTTAAATATATTCACAATATAATTTTATTTACCTATTCACATGTAACGTTTTTCGATTAGACATCATTCTCATACTTTAGTTCTGAGAATAGGCTTTGAAACTTTTTCCTAATTAAGTTCAGTGTGTACATTGACTAGGAGAGTTTCTATTGACTGCTTTTATTTCTGTTTGGGACTCACTTTCATGTTTCTTTAGATGTTGCATAATTTGTTGAAAACTAGTTATTTTAATAACAATATAACAAATCTTGTAATTATATTTGTCTCTTTCTCAGGGTTTATTGTCATGTTTCTTTTTCTCTTTGCTTGTTGAATCTTGAATTTATTAGAGTCTTTATTCTGCGATACCTGTGACCACTGACATCCACTCGTTCAGCTCGCTTAGAGATCATCTACTGAATGTGTACTGTTTCCTTGAAATGCCCTCAACAATCCTGCCACCTGTTTACAGCCTAGGTATAGTTTCTTCTCCTCACTTCCACAGTCTGAAGGTCAGCCAAAGGTGAGATTATTTCTTTGTTGGATTTCATCTGGGCGTGTGTACAGTTCTGCACGTATTTTCCTATCCTCTTTCCTTCTAGATTTTCAGGAATGTGTCAAAACTTTTCATATACCCTTAGGGATATGTCCAGCCTTTCCTTTTAAGAGATTTTAGTCAGCTTCTTATATGGCCCAACTGTTATTATTGCCTCATTCAGCTGTTAATAATGGTCATTGATTGTTTTCAAAAGCTGCTCTTTCTCATTAAGGGAGCACGAAGTCAGATTAAATACAGCACAGTTTCTGTCAGTTGGCTTTCAGGGAACTTCAAGACCAATCAGGGACAATCCTCTGAGGATGATTGACTATTTTGAAATTCTGATATTTTAGAAATACTAGAAAAAGGTTGTTTACTTCCTTGGACTTCTCTCTAGGGTACATTCCAGACAATACATATCCTAATTTTAGTGTCTTTGGTAAACTCGATTAGGTAAAAGCTTGTCAAATCATCAAGTTCTGGTTACTTTTTGCTTAAAAAATTCTTATCTCTCTATGTATGTATGTATGTATGTATGTATGTATCTATCTATCTATCTATCTATCTATCTATCTATCTATCTATCTATATTTTTTGGTGCTGGGGATCAAACTCGGAACCTTACGCTTGTGAGGCAGGCAGCAGAACCACTGAGCTAAATCCCCAGCCTCTTCTCAATATTTTTTATTCTTATCACATTTTATTAAAGAAATAAGTGACCAGGCCATGAATTCAACACTTTGCTTAGAAATCTCAACTAAATTCTAAGTAAATGCTTGCAAATTCCTTTCTCCAAATAAATGTAGGATACAATTAAGCTTAATATTCTGTCATATACAACAATTACCTTTCTTCATCTTTTCAATAACATTTTCATTATTTTCTTCTGACTCACAATCAGTAATGTTAAAAGCCACATTTCTAACAGTTTCCTGAAGTAATAATCCAGGCATTTTCTATTGTTCCTTTCAAAATTCTCAGCCACCACCTCTTATCCAATTTCAAAGTCATAACACTTTTAGGTAGTTAGCACAGGAACATCTCACTACTGGGACCAACATCTGTCTAAATTTTATATTGCTGCAATAACAAATCACCATGCACTTGGCAGTATAAACTACACACTTTCATTATAATATAGTTATGAAGGTCAGAAGTCTAAAGTTCATTTGTTTTGTTCTTCCTGAAGGGTTTTGGAAAATAATATGTTTGTTTGCCTTTCCAGTATGAGGCAGCCTGCATTCTTTGGTTTCTACAACCTTCAAAGTCAGGAGTGTGGTATTCTTTCTTCTTTTACTTTTTCCCTTTCCTCCTAAAAGTACATGTGTGCATACATGAAGTCCACACAAAAAATACATAATAATCCCTCATCTCAAGATCTTTGCTTAATTATACCAACAAAATTTCTTTTGACATGTAAGGAAATATAATCATAGCTTTTGTGGCTTATGAGATGTACATCTTTGGTGAACATCATTCTGCTACTGTACTTCAAGGCAGTTAATTTTCAAGGCTTCTATGAAGGTGGAAAGAAGGGATGATGGGAATAAGAGAACTTGAATGCTGCAAAGCACACTCTTTTGACTGAGATTTCTGGGGATTTTTTTGTTGAATAATGCACTTTAAATTATTGTAAATCTTTAGTAAATTCAGAATTCTGACAAAGTTGATTTTGACAATTTTTTCACCAGTTATTTGAAAGCTTTTGTTGAGAAGCAGACATCCAAAGGCCCTTACTCTAAATTAATGTGTGTATGTGCATGCACGCTTGTGTGTGTGTATGTGTGAAATAATCAGCATGTATGGAGAAATCCTTATTTGGAATTAAAAACACATCAAATATTCCATCTATGTGCCTTAGTAAGTACACAAATATGTTTTACATATGATGAATGTATTTTTAAAGAATTCTACCTACAAATTAACTCCTGTAGGTTTCAATAAGCATATTGTTTTTACATACTAAAATATCAATATATACATATGTTTTTAATTTGTATACATTTATTGGGTTTTAAAGACATGCCATCTAACAAAAACTTATAATGTAATCATGCTGAATAAATTGGAGATCTTTCACATTTCCTCACAGAATCTCCACTTAGATTCTTGCCCTCTTCATGATTATCTCTAGTTTGATAAATCAATATATTATTTCCAGTACAACTAAAACACAAATACTGTTTTAAACACTGTCACAATTTAAATGCTTCCTATAACATAGGACTTCAAAGAACAATAAGAATCGCTCGGTTATATAAAATACTTCATCTGAGCCCTCAGAGAAAATAATCATGTTATATTAGACTTTAATCAAACATATAGGTTTATTAATTCTGGAAGAAAACTCTGACTTACTCTATGAGATCACATACATAAAAAATAGCTTATTTTTAGAAAGAATTTCCAGTTGGTTGAATGTGGCAATTAATAGATCATTCCTAGTTCAACTTTCATTTCAATTTTACAGAGCAATTATATGAACCTCAGAGATAGTGCATTGTCACTTTGATGATTTAGACTTAATGGAAGTCTAAAAAGAGAGTCCAGGTATTCCAAAGAGGAATAGCAAGAACAGTTGGGAAGGATCATGGAATGGAAGTGGGGAGGACAGTTGGAAAAAATGTAACAGGGTACAAAAGAGGAGGCCTCTTCAGGGACAGATATATATTTTATATTATTTCCTAATTATAAGTCAGAAAAGAAGATGAGGTTGGAGGCCTTCTTACTCTGTAACTAAGGCATTTGTTTCTGTGATGAATACATAAATGCCTGTTTCCTGCCTGTATGAGATGTTCAGAGATTTATACTAAACTTATAAATCAAGTTATCCTGTGCAAAAAGAAAGATTTTGCCTCATGTCAGACTGACAACAGTGAATCATCGGTAAATCTGTGGCTCCTTTTGCCTGAGGATCACAGTGTTTTGATTATGAATTTAAAAATCTCCATTTTTTTTTTTTGGTCATGAAGAGGACCATAGATATAAACACCATCATTTGGAACACAATGATCCAAAGTGTGGGTGAAGTATGCAATGATTACCTTAGAAATCGGTGTGAAGAGGCTTGGTCATCTACCTGGCTGACAATACACGGTCTCTCAGAGTTACTATAAGGAAGTGTCTAAGTTATCTTGGCAGATCCAAACAGCTACACAGTAAACATTCTATTTAGAACCCTGAAGGCAATTAGTTCTATGAGTACTTGCTTGTAATAGTATAAAAAGCTGTTAACTTTCCTGGTGACCTGGAATTGGAGGCAGAGGCTAGAGGAAGAGTGGCAAACACTACACAGGCTAAATATGAATAAATGACCAAGTTGCAGACACTTCTCATTGACATACTGACTTCTAAAGGTCTTGCTAATCTTTGTTGAATAATGAATAGAGAAAAAATTTAAAACATTGTATTGTAGACAAGATGGTCGAAGAGCACTGCTTGTTGTCTGCTGAGGTACCAGTTTCCTTTTTTCATGTATGTGAGAGGGTGCTACTGAGAAGTCTCCCTTTGAGTCATATCAAAAGACTAAATAGGGTGTAAGTTAGAATAATATATTTTATAACAGGCTCTGGGCAAAGAAAAAGATAAAGACTTTAGTATCTAAATATGGGAGCCAAAAAATTTTCAAATAGAAGAGCAACATTAATACATGAGGACTAGGGGAAAAAAAGCAAACAGTACAGTGAGCTTCCCTCTAACCTGAGCCAGTCCACCAACCTCGGCTATGGATGATACAAGTCTTCGATATCTGCAACTCCTCCCATCCAACACACACACCGAACCAAAGAATTTGGATTTCTATGAAGAGACGTGTGTATTGAAGGTAATTTCCATCCAGCCCATGATGTCAGTGCGGCATCTGTAGGATATTTCCTGTGAATAGGGACAGAGATTTACCACCTCATCCTATCAGGTCTTCAAATAAGACAAAAGCCCATTGACATTAATACAGGCAAAAAGCACTGGACAGAGGATGCAATTGAGTGAAAGATGAGCTTAGTCTGTCCAAAAGGAACCTCAGGTGGCTAACTTCTCCATGGAGAAGAGAAACAAGGCTAACTAGGTCACAGCAAATAGGCATTTTATAAAACTCTCTCAACCAACTAGCATGCTGAAAATCCCTCCTAGAGATGGGGCCAAAAAAAGCAAATGAGTATTTCAGACCTGTGTCCAATTGACTGTCAGTAACTTTCATAACAGTTTGGAGAAAGTGACAGAAATAAGTGATTAAAAGAGATATTGAGACTACCTCTCTCCAAAGAATAGTATAACCATAGTTTTGAAAAATGGACATTCCCACACACATATCTTAAGCCAAAACTGCTTTATAAATTTTTAATTTTTTCAATTACTGAAAATAATATGCCATGTGTCCTACATTTACCAAAATCATGGGGTTATACAGATATCTCAAAACCTGTAATTGTAAAAGATTAATATTTCTACTATGGGCCTAATCATTAACTAAGAGATATTCCAGCCTCAGTTTTCTTAACTAAATATGGCACTTTAAGTTTTTTTCTAAGTTAGAAAATCCTGTGTCTTAGATATATTCTCAAATACTCTTCTTTGAAGATTGAAGGGATTTCAAAAATTTCAAAGGGATTTCAAATGTTCATGGTTTGATATGCAGAAATCAATGCTGACTTAAGGTTAGGTGTTCAAAATTTAGGACAAAATTTTGAGCAAACTAAAATTTGTAAAACCAAAATTAGAAAGAAAAACTGGACAATTTTGAATTTATTAAAAAAATAAACTAAAAATGAATAAATATTATTTCAATCAAGTGTATAACCTGAAATTTATCACAGATATACAGCAGTAGCATAAGAGAACACCTATATCTTTGATGTAGACTAGACTAGACTAGAGATCCAATATTGAGAATGAAAATTTAATCCTCCCCAAATAATCTGCCAGTTGGTACGCTTCCTGTGTCATCTTAAATTCATAGAAATGTTTACAAATTTATGTCATCTGTCCGAGGAAAGGGGAGAATCAGCAGAACACGAGCCATACAATTAGCAAAAATGATGGCCAAACATGATTATCTAATCCTAAAAAAACACGAAAAGAGGTAATGGTTACTCTAATTCTAACAATAAGAAAACCAAAGTTTAGGGATGCTTCATCAAGTGTTTTGTTTATATTCACACAGGTACAAAGATTAGGAAACTGAAGTCAAATTTTGGCCCTATTTGGATTTAAAAATAAAAATTACTTTCACCTATTTCTTACATCTCATAATATGATTGAATTTAATAATCTACCACTTACACTTCCCTAAGGATGGACTTCCCTAAGTCAATTCCTTAAGAGACTCTATTAGTTGGCCAGGAATTTAGCTCAGTGGTATTGTGCCTGTCTTAGTGCAAGGTCCTGAGTTGATCTCCGGTACTGGAAAAACATTTTTAAAAAAGCAAGAGACTCTATTACATTGGTTTCACTAATAATTTTCCAAACGTCAACTCCTATACAACCTATAAGCAAAATAACAGGCTTGTAACCTATACAATAAAACAGAAAAGTACTACAAATGGAGAAGGAATGAAAACTGGATAACCCTTTGGATACACTGGGCATTGGAAAACTACATTGCTTTGAACTTTGAGACACTGTCGTCTTGGGCTGTGCCACCTGATGGGAAACACTGTCTGACCCCTTGGCAGCCTTCCACAGAATTTTCCTCTATGATTTTATTACTTGAGAAGATCTACACTATTTTATATCCTGGGACAATATAAAACTGACAATGAGTGATCAGAATTCTTTTTCTTAAGGACATGATTGCTTCAATAATGCATACTTAATCTTCAACAAGATAAGAAAAAGCATGTGTTTCAATTTCTTGACGCACTCAGATTTTCAAACTTAAAATCCCAGTGTCCTCCTACATTTATGAAAGAAATAATAAATATTGGTCATAAAAACATCAACTGTGTTAAAACTAGAGCATCAGTCCTCCCATATGAATGTCTACCTGCCAGACTTACAGAGGGAAAGGTCATATGTTTCCAATATTTTCTTGCATTTTAACTCACATACAACCTCTCATAAGAAAAATTTAGCTACAATATTCAAGCTCCTTAGTGTTTTGATAGGCTTCCCTCTGCCTATATTATTTATTACTGCTATATAGCTAGTACTTATTAAAAATTCAACATCATGTAGCTTAATCCATATTATAATTGTAATTTGTTGGGTGTGTGGAAAAATGTCACTTGAAAAGTGAAAACAAAACAAAAAAAACCTTATAGTTATTTCTTTAGCATCTCTAACTTTTCAATTGGTGGGAGACAAGTACTTGTCATAGTGTCAGATGCTAAAAGTAAACTGAGACATCTTTATTTTTTATATGAGACATCATTATGAGTCTATCAAACTATAGACTTTCAATTTGAAAAAAAGGAAAAGGAGAAAATTTAAAAAGTCTTTCTGAAAAATTAAAGAAACAAAAATTAGTGATGTGGAATTTTACATTTCACCTTGAAATAAATTTTGCACAAATATATATGTATATATATAAACTTTATATATTTAAAAATAGAGTGATTGCCACACCTGCCTTGCAAGCACAAGGTCCTGAATATGATCCCTGGTACTGGGAAAAAACCAGAGTGATAATATTGTTTAGTTTTGGCCTTTTACATTTTACAATCTCAATAATATGTACTATAGAATAAAATAATTTTTAAAATTCAGAACTCAAATTATTAATAAGAAACAAATTGCTCATTTTCAGAGAAAACTTAGAAAAGCTTAACCAAAGTGAAACATTTTATATTTCTAACAATGTACATTATAATCAATGTAAACATAATTCATGACAATTGTATAATTTAATAAAAATCCATTACTCTGCTTGTACAGATTATTTTTCTAATAGCCTCAAATGGAAAACAACTTTGCAAATAGATGAAGGCATTTTTAACAGATATATTCTACAAATCAGAGGAGTTTTCAGTATACCCTAACATCTAAAATGAAGACACAATGGTTCATAAATCTATCCACATCTCATTCTCCCATCAGCTGCCCTGGTTGGCTTCCTAAGTCTATTCTTGCACCTGGGGCACACTGAAGCCAAAGAGCCTTCTGGTTGCATCAGGTCCACTCAGAAGAATGCTCTTGTGGGAAGCAAGGCATCCAGGCTGCTGATCAGATCCTGCAACAAATACTACTGGGCCCCTGAATCAGAGCTGGTAATCCTTAGGCCATGGAAGACATGTTGAACAGGGCTTAGCTGAACTTCCAAGAAAAACGTATAGGTGCAAGCAATAATTTTCAAAAAAATCCCCATCCAAATTCAAACAGGTTGCTCACTTTGGAAATGTATTAAAGTAACTGAACTCTTTTATGAGGTCTTACTCTATTCTTGAGGTATTCAGAAATTGGGAACAAAACAGCCAAAATGGTAGAAGTTAGGTAAAGTGATCAAAGCTCTAAAAATGATTTCCATACCAAGCAGAGTAAGTTTTATTTGCTTTTAAGTTTGTGTCACTATCATAAGGACAGAGGTCCACTATAATATTTACTATTAGACTCCTAATTTTCAGAAATAAATTACTGATAATATTCACAATTTAATTATTCTGAAGAAACAGTTGTGAATAATCAGTTTCATCCCACATCATACAGAGTGCTTATATTTGTGGTGGTTGATACAACTTTGTGTAAATCTCTTCTCTTTTTAGAAATACAGTACAATGAATATATTCAACATATAACTTCCAGAAATTCATTTTGTTGATGAATCCACACCTGATCTACTTATTGTAGTAAAAATTTAGTTGAATTTCAAACATAGTTTAGCTGACTTAATTAATATTCATATTTTACTGTTTAATACTATATAATCATTACCAATATATGTCAGTATTATCAGATTTGTAATTTATTCTACTCTTCAACATAAAACTAAAGTTAATATGCTTGTAATTAAAGATATAACTATATTAATGTGGAAAAATTTAGGCCAAATAAAATTACTTATTCTGGAATTCCTATAAACATAGAAAAAATGCTTCTTCTAGGTAACATCTATGAAATATAACATTTTTATCCATTTAAAGAACTTTCTTCTAGAACTCTCAAAATTATTATAAGTGTACTAAATGTTATTATTTATGGTGATGATCTCTCCTATATATCTTATGACCTTGATTTAAAAAATATATTTCAGGGCATTTCTTGGAGAAATATGAACATATTGACATTCTTATATACACTGCATATAAGTACATTGTGAGGAAATAAATTAGTACAGAGAGTATATATAAGGCACAGTTTGTTTACTGAACACTATTTAGCTATCATGGGAATATTTGTTTGTTTATAGATTAGATATATAAATATTTGTCTGGGTTAGCAGTTTGCTTGGAGTTTTTATCCATAGTGTATTTTCTCCTAAGTTCTTCTCAATGTTTAAAATATATACAATATTTTCTTTAGAAATATAAATTTCACAATATAGTAGTCTTAGCAACCTGAAATATACAATTTGAAAAACAAGGAAGCAATAATTCTCACAGGAAAAATTATTTTAAGTATCTATGAAGTAGAAAAGAAGAAGAAATTTAATAAGTATATTCTTTATATTCCACTGTAATGGAATAAAATTTTAATTACTATAGTGAATGATATCATAGCACTAACAGCCATATAAAACTTAATGCTCAGAATAAACAGTACCTTTAAGTGGAACACTGATAATGAAATTTATGTGAATTAAAGATCATACTAATGCCTTATAAACAAAGGCTTTATAATTGATTTCTTATAGGTATAGTAAATGAATATTTATAGATGCTCTGTGATGTGCCTAGTTCTTATAGAATGAGGAGAAACAGCTATCAAAAAGAAAGTAGCTCTCA